CAGGACAGCAAGGGGAGAAGAAGCTCTGCAGGCAGCCTGATGAAGAAGATGGTTGAATCCTGAGTAAGGGGGGTACATTCCACCAAAATTGTCCCTTTTTCCATGGTATAGTGAACAAGAAAAACCCAACACATGCTGTTAAGAAAGCAATCTGCAGTCACTGGGTAGCAAACATTGCCTTAGAAAGGCTAATAATAATAATAATAATGATGATGATGATAACAACAACAACAACAACAACAACAATAATAATAATAATAATAATAATAATAATAATAATAATAATAATAATAATAATAATAATAATAATAATAATAATGTGTTTGTATAAACAACTAAATTAAACTCTGGTGGGATTTCAGTGCTTAGAGTTTTGGGGGAAGACTGTTTTCCTGGATATAATACAAAGGAATGACTATAACTTCTAGGCTTCCACACGTGTTTGATGTCTTTGGAGGTAAAAACTCCAAATCTCCAATATAAGCCTGCAAGGAGTAGAAAAGAAATGCAAACATGAGTATTCAGACATCATTTAGAAGACAAAGGAAAAGTAACTTTCAACATTCAACTCTAGGTAATTCTATGCTTTAACAAGTTTCCTGGCCTTTCTCTTGCTCCATTATTGTTCTGTTCAGTTGTGTCTTTAAGTTCTGTCTATGTCTTGAGGGATATAAGACACATGTATGTATCTATACACATGTATCTGTCTATAGACATCTACTCTATGCTGAATACAAAAGTGTAATAAGTATGATTCCTTTTTTTTTTTATTTTAAATTTGAATTCTCCAGATACAGGTTTCTGTATTTAAAGTTGTCAGACACTTTTATAGAGATATGCCACTTTAAAGTTGCATTAATTTCTTACAATCCAAACCATTGTATCTGTAATTTTTACCTTTGTGTAATAGACTCCAATCAAATCAGGGTAAATGGCAACTCCAGAAAAACAAGGTAATTTGACTAAACTTTTCTGTCTAGGTTGAGTCCAGGCTCACCAGGTCCCTGAAGTAGGAAAGCATAAAGTATAAATGGAATAAAACCCTAGGGGTCAAAATGCAAAACAAAAACTCTTTAGGATTTTGTTCCTTTATGCTCCACGGTGTTTAATCCCAGTGAACCAATAAATGCAGATGGAGCACAAAAAATATGAACTCACCTTAATGTTGCATTTTTTTATAACTTCCACTAATCCAAACGTTTGCTTCACAAGTCATGTGTAAGAAAGAGTTTGCATGGTTTATATTCCCAGGATCCCATTATAGTAAAGCTCAAAAACAGTTCACTCAAGTATTAGTAAAACTGAAAGGTAAAAAAAGTCCAGATTCCCAGCTGATAATAAATCACTCCATGTCAAGCAAAAAAAATTCTGACCTCTGCTGTCCAGCATTACTCATGAAAACAAGAACTACAGAAATAAATATAGTTAATAGAGTAGTAATAGAAATATAAATTCTGCTATCTAAAGGCAGATGGCACAGTGAAGAGTGCACATCAGATTACTAAGTCTGCCTCTATACAGAAGAAAACTTCTGCATTGGACCCTTACTACGCATTGCTCTCCCCACCATTCCCTTGCAATAGAATTTTGTAACCTAAGCCAGCTTGGTGTCAGAGAGATTTATTTGGTGTATGCACCTTTTGTATAATTATTCAGTTATTACTCCTATAATGCACAGCATTATCTGGAATAAGTCTGCACGACAGTGGTGAACCTCCAAAGTAGCTTACGTTTCTTCTTATAATCCCCCACTCAACCTAACTCCTTTGTGAGATCTGAGAGGAATATTATTCATTCTACAGACAGAAATTTAGAAAGAAAAAAGAAGTCCAACATTTCATAGAGAATTAGTAAGACAGCAAGAAGCTGAACTCAAATTGTAAAACCTAGACAGTGCCTCAGTAGCATGAGCAATACAAAACATTTCAGCCCCATCCAATCTTCTGAGAATGTTTGCCCAAGATACAAGGTTCTAAGTTGCCATGGAGGAGATACAGAAAAAACTGGCCAATTTTTTTTTTTTAATTCTGTTTTGGTCTACTTTTTAGACAAGTGTTAACAAACAGAACCACAAACAACTCTTTCAAAGCCCCTTTGTTAGAACTGAACCTGCTGGAACATAGCACATATTCAGGTTCCTTGCTTTGATTTATTCCTACTGCATGAACAGAAAGAGAAAATAATGAAAGCTGCTACGTGGCATTTGCATTTTGGCATGTAGGAATCCTCCTAAAATAAAAATCCAGACAGACATCTAGAAATTGAATATGCCAACAAAACAGCACAAGTGAGTGAGAGATCTTCTTATTACAATCCCCCTCATGTTTTCAATAATTTAGTTTTCAACTTTCTTGATCCTTTCCATGCAAACTTCTCACTACTTTTTCACTATCAGACTTCCATACTGCACAGAATCTCATTTTGTAGGCTAAAAAGAGAGAATGAAACTTCTAGGTTTTCAACAAACACCAGTGAGAAAAACAATGAGACAGCTACTCCTATTAATGGCACAAACACCATTTTTAGTAAGTAAGGTTAAGCTTTTAGGTCAAGATTAAAATTGCTTTTCAATTCGATTTTAAAGTCATATTATTAACTTCAGTAGATCTACACGTACATGTAGTAATAAAACTAGATTCCTTTGACTGCAAGATCAAGCTTATCGTAATAAAGAGTTTATGGAAAACTCAAAAATTAACACAGACAAAGGTACAATGGTATTTTAAAGAAATCAGAGGTGATTCATCACAATTCCATGGATAGAAACTGTGTTTTGCAATACAAAGTTTTGATTCTTACATCACATCCCATGCTTCCACAGAACAAACCGTTCTTAATAAATCCATTAACTGGCATGTTTGGATACCTGGAGCTTCTGTGGGTCACAACTGGAACCATTGCTCCCACTGGAAAAGTCTAAGTTTCTTTAGAGACATGTACTGCAACTTTAGGTAACTCCTATTGGTAATCAAAAATGTTTTTAAATCCCACTTTTTACAAACCCAAATCTAGTTTAACTCCTACATTCCACTATGCAAGCTAAAATCTTTAATAGTGACTTCCCAAAATTATCATTAAAAAATGCAAAATAAAACAAAACCTTACCAAGATCCTATTGTGGCAGTAGGGATATTTACACATGGAAATAACACAAATAAATAAGCATTTGTAAAGTCTTGGGCAATATTATCTTTAGACCTAGCTTTTATTTGCAAATTAAGTATGCATTTTAAGACCTAACAATGACTAAATACAGACGTGATGACATTAAAAATCCACTCAGCAAGACTTCCTGCATAGAACATAACAAAACACTTCAAATCTAATTTTCAGCAATTTAAGAACTAATTTTTAGTGCTGTTGTGTTGTAATTCAATATAATTTACAGAGGTCAAATATGCATCCATAGCAACAGGGTGGAATCTCCAAAATGCAATAGCTCCATAAAACCAAACCATCCAAGAAGAGGAATCCATTTGCTTTTACCCTTCCTCCTTTGCTGCACCAAGGAACGAGAGGCTGAATTTCTTTTTCGTCAAGCCAGCAGTAGCTGTGAAACTCTTAGCCCCCTGAAGGAGTGGCTCACACCAAACCATGCTGAATTGCTTCCTCAGCAGCTGTTCCTACATCTTGGCGTGGTGAGAGGTCGCTCAGAATGAGATACCTCATCTATGTGGAAACACTGACATTAAAAAGTCGCCTGAGCAGACAGGTACTAAGACTGGCTCTATCACACTAACACCTGCAGTATGCACCGTGTTATAACACCGACAAAAACATGGATACATCACGAAAAAATAGAAAAAAGGCAAGCAACACAGCACCTGATGCTTTCTTGTGTCACTTGAAGTAATGATGAGCGTATTTGAAAAAACAATTGGTCTAAACTAGGTGAGATTTAATAGATACAGGTGAGTTTAGGCATTGGCCATAATTAAGAAAAATCAGCTCACTACCACTTAACTTTGAATGAAAGGCATAGCCTGAAGTTGTCGGGCCAGAGATCGTCTGAATTGGCTTTACACTTTCAGGTTATTTGTTTTAACTTTATGAACAGTCTTTTAAACAACGAGAGAGGATCTTCCTAAACACACCATGGGGAAGCCGCCGTGGTTCCTCTCTGAAATGATAAGCTCTGAGCTGGAGAGTCACAGGGAAAAAAGCAAAAGGAAAACGAACGTGAATTTTAAGGGGGGAATAGACGACTCAACTACGAGGCCCTCGCAGAGGGAAGAGTAAAACGAGGCCAGGCTGTCACTGCTTTCGTAATTGCAAAGGTGCTGCCTCAAAGGGGAGAAAACTTCCATTAGCAACTTCCTCTGAAACACCCGAAAAAAAGCAGCACACAAGAGGTCGTACTCCCCTTGAGTGCAATCCATCTGATAATGTCTAAAATTTATTAACAACAACTTTAAGCACCGCTGAAGAGAGACGGTTTCTCAAACGAGGGTCAAAGACGAACGCTTTGGAAACCCAACAAGGCTCAGCCGCAGGGAGACGGGGCAGAGCCAACAAGTGTGGGGCCGGGTTTGCTTTGCCTGCTGGTGTTCCCAAGGGCACGGTGGCCGAGGCGGGGGCAGCCGGGGCGGGAGAGCCGGGGCAGAGGAGCCGCAGCGCTCCCGGCCGGGAGAAGCGAGCGGAGCCGGACTGCCGCGGGCGGCCCTCGGGAGGAGAACGGGATTCGCTCCCGGCCTCCTCGGGCTCCTAGCGGGCTGATCCCGTACCGGGCTGCCTGGCTGGGCCTCGGCCGCTTCCCCCCGGTGCGAGACCCACCATCGCTGTCCGGGCTGCGGAGAGCGGGCCCGCCAGCGCTGCGCTCCGCCGGCTCTCACCCCGACACCGCTGCGCTCCGCCGGCTCTCACACCGACGCCGCACCCCAACACGGGACTGCCCGGCGAGGCCGCCCGGCTCCCGGGGATCCGCGCACCGCCGCTCCCCGCTCCCTTGTCCCGCTCTCTCCCTCTCCCCGCGGCGCAGATTGAACAAACGCGCCGCCGTCTACCTGTGCAACACGTCCGCAACACATTTTATTTACACGGAATTAGCTCGGGGCATTGTACATTATATACAGATATTTTCCCCCTCCAACAAGGCAGATCTTGTGCAAGATTAGTAGCATCCTCTGGAGCGTGTCCGACAGTCCACGGGAAATGTCCCCCCCACTTAGAAGTATCAGCTGTCAGAATCCAAGTCACTTTTCCCGTCCTCTTGTCTTTTCTCCGGTGACGTTTTAGACGCTTTATTCCACTTTTGTGCGTTTTCTGATTCCTCCGAAGACGATCGCTTTTGCCTCCTCCACTTCGCCCGGCGGTTTTTGAACCAAACCTGTTGCGTTAAGAAATTAAATTATTAGAGGGAAAAATAAAAATAAAACTGTGTAAACCCGGAGCTGACCTCAGCCCCTCAGGAGCCCTGCCGGGGCCGGTGTGGGAGGCCGCGCTCGGACAGACGGACGGACCGACAGACGGAGGGAGGCGGGGGAAACAGCCGCTCGGGTGGGACCGGCCGGGCGCCTTCAGGAGGCACAGCCGCCGGCCGACAATCCCTCACAGCCCTGGGACAGGCTCGGTCGGCTGGCCCAAGGAAGGGCACTTGGAAAGAATAAAGAACTTTCCCTCTGCCCCCGCAAAGCGGCTCCGCTGGCAGAGCCGGGCTGGAGCCGCACCGCGATACATCCGGCTCGGGCGCCTTTGAGTGCGAATGGGAGGGTTGAAGAAGGAAAAAGAAAGCAAAGTACCTCCACTTTTTCCTCTCTTAAGTGCACCCTTCTGGCCAGCTGTTCCCTCGTGCCCACATCTGGGTATTTCGTTTCCTGGAAGAGGTTTTCCAGCGCTTCCAGCTGCTCGTCAGTGAAGATAGTCCGGTGCCGCCTTTTTCGCCTGCAGTGCAGCTGGTTCAGTAACTGCAGCTCCGTCCGGGACAAAGTGCCCACGTTCATGTAGGGCAACATCTGATGGGGAACAGGGGACATCAGGACTGACCCAGTGCCCTCGTAACCTACGGACAGACAGACGAGTCGACGATAGGCTTTGCATGATATCGCTGCTTCCCCCCACTCCTGTCCCGTCCCATCCCGAACAGAAATTGCCCCCTCCCGCCGCCCGGCCGCTCTCCCGCGGGCCGCCAGCTCCCCGCCACCGCTCGGGCCCCGGGCTGCGGGAACAAAGGGGGCCCGGCCCGTCCCATCCCGTCCCGTCCCGTCCCACGGGGGCCGCCTTACCTGCGGGGGGCACGCAGGAACACTGCTGAGCACCCAGCGGCGGCACGGCCCCGCAGCACGAAGGGCCCACGGGGGACGCGGGCACATGCAGCTGCCCGTAGTAGTAGTTGTTGTAGCCGAGCCGGGATCCAGTGACGGCCGGCGGCAGCGCGGAGGCGGGAGCCACCGCCCGGGAGTAAAATCCGCCGTAGTCGGAGGCGCTGCCGTAGAGCGAGTCCCCGTGGAGGCTGGGGAAAACGACGGGCGCGGCGCTCGGGGGCAGCAGCACCGAGTCCTTGCAGCGAGGTCTGGCCGCCAGGATATTGTCGATGCTGAACATGCTCACAGGCATGCCCCAAAGCGTGCGGGGCAGGGCGGCGGGGACCGGCCGGGGGAGGGAGGGAGGAGGGCGGGAGGGAGGGTAGGTGGTGGCCGGGGAAGGGGGGGGGAAGAGGCTGGAAGGACGCGAAATCGAAACTTTTCAGATAAATTTGAAAAAGGGATCGGAGCGAAAAGAAAAGAGCCTTTTCCGAGGGCAGCTTGCGGGCAGAGTGTGCGTGTGTGTCTGTGCGCGCGTGTGCGGTGTGTGTGCGTGTGCGCAGGATCCACCCCTGGAACTTTCCCCCCTCAACTCTCGCCTGTTTACTGATCTCAACCCAGAGGGCTGCTCGGAGTATAATCCATCTGAACCTCTTCCCTTTTTTATACCCAGGCGACGTCATCCTGGATTTAGTTCCTGGTAATATGCAGATGACAAACAAAACCAGATTTGATTTTTTTTCTCCCCTTTTTTGGTGGAGAAGAGGTGGGGGTTACACAAAGGAGTGAAAGCAGCCCAAGTCTGTGTATTGAGAATTAATGAAATTAACGTAATCCTTTCCATTAGTGGGCTTTTTAGAAAGGCCCCAGATTTAGGCTTGATCTCTGCTGCACCGGCTAATTGCCCAGGTTAATCTTATTAATGCCATTGTGTAGAAGTGGTTAGCAGCTCCTAGTCTTGTCTATTATGCGCCTACTTTGGTCGTGTTAGTTCACATTAGTGGGTGCGATTTCCTCTGTCTAAGGCTCAGATTCATTATTTATGCTTCGAACTGCTTAAGAAGCACTTAAAAAAAAAAAATAAACTGCCACATAAACATGCAACGCGCCCCCACTCCAAGTGTTTCTGTAGCACGATTTGAATCTTGCGTCCCCGGCTCGGAGGACTGAGCGGGCATTGAAGAGTATGTGTTTCTGTGATTTAAGGTTTATGCAGTGAAGCAACAACGTCTTCACTGAGTAACTGAACTATTTTATTTTTACTATTTTCCTAGGTCACCTGGCGGAACAAGGACACATGAATATTGTAAACTTCTATCTCTCTGTTTTCTTTCTTTCTTTCTTTCTTTTTTTCTTTTTTAACAGATTCAGACAGGTACCACCTTCTATTTTTAATACAAGCCAAGAGACGCAAACGTTAAAGACCAGTGCTATCTCAAATCCCCGGGTGTGGTAGGTATCCCAATTTATTTCTGATCTGTCTTGGTGCCTATTTCTTTTCTTTTCAATCTTTAATTATCTAGCTTAGAAAACAAAGGCCATAAAGTTGCAATGATGCAGAGAACTTTATATTTTGCATGTTCTATGAATTTTTAAATGGACAAATTTTAAATCCCTAAAACTCTTGCTATTAAGAGGTTTGGCTCTCCTGGTAGCTGGCTCTTGTGATTTGCAGAATACTTCGTCTGTCACGACTGTCCCTGGGAATCCACAGGAGGTGAACTGAATAAGATTAGACTATTTACCCCATCAACTCTCCATCAAAGAAGGTAGGAAATTGTACGCATGAAATGAAAACAAGCCATTAGAGTCCGTTTACGAGGAACACATTATTTTTCCTCAACAAAGAATATCCTCGTTAGCGCTTACTCGCACTTTATCTTTAGCCTTTCTTTCCTCTATATTCCAGGATTTAAAACGGCACCTGAGAATGATTTGAAACGTATTTACAGCGAAAGACTTGTATAAGCGTTAAAAAAAAAAATGCCAAAACTAAATTCTCGCTTTGTTGATACTTCGCAATGTGTTTAATTAGCTGCATCGGTTTTTGCTTCAATTTATCTGCCTAACCATTTCTTTACGCCTTTGGCATTTAGACCTGAACTTCGTGCAAGTTTTTCAAATTTGATGGAAAGTGAAACTATTTGACAGAGGGTTCGGCGGGTTTTTGGTTAGATTTGAGAAAATTTTTTTCTGTTGATATTTTGAGAGTTTTGTTTAATTTTTTTTTTTGTTTGTTTGAGGGTGGGCTCGGAGAGGGAGTTTCGGTTTGTCGGGGTTTTTTGGTCAGTAATTCCCTGAGTGCAGCCGGTCACGCTGCATGCAGAGCAGCGCCTGCTTAATGCCGCCATCGGGATGCTCCTCCACGTCCTCGGCGGCTCTGCAGCAATGCGCCGCAGCATCCCTCGGGCGGCCTGCGGGGCTCGGGGTCCCGGGAGAGCCGGCAGCGGGGCACGGCCCGCTCTGCTCCGCATCGACCCGTCAGGAGCATCCCGGGGGCTCGGGGCGGCGGGGACAGCGCTCAGCCGGGACTGCCGCCCCTCGGGAAACAACCCGGGTGAGCTCCAGAGCCCGCTCCTGCCGTGGGGACACCCTCGGTGGGGACACCCGGCTTCTCGGGTGTTCAGCATCACTTGCGTCAGGGTTCATGTCCGCCCCTGTCCGGCTTCTCCCAGGTGGTGTCCGCACCGCGGGACACGCGTGGGCACCGGAGGGGCCGCGGCGCTGGCGGAGCACACACGGCCCGGGCCGGACGGACGCTCGGCTTCCCCAAGAGTTTTCTGCTCCCCTGACGGATGATCCACCATGCTATAACGCCTACCTTTATTCTTAATTTGAAAATTATATTTTCTAAATAACTTGTTCCCCCAGTGAGGAAGGTCTCTTTTATTTTGTTTTGTTTTGTATTAGAGTCGTTTTGCCGTGAAACCCCCGGTTTTGATACCCGCTTGGCAAAACCCGCTCTCGGAGTTTCTCATTTCCCGTGCGCTCTTCGCTAACCTGGCAAACGGAAAATTGTGTTAAACAAACAATCAGTTGTCGCACAATGTCGGGGTGAAATTGTAATAACAAATGAAACACAAGCAAATTGTGCTGCATAGTGTTGCTAAGCAATTGTTTGTTACGGGAGGGTGGTCACAGCATGGGTTGAAAGAGGGATCTAAAGAGGAGCATAGCGCTGGGCAGAGCAAGCTGTTAGGCATGAAATACGGTAAACACCGCGCTGATTTTCAATATTATTACCCAAACACGATTCCATACAAAGCAATCACCATACACAAGTCTATGAAAATGCGCTTGGAGAAAACGGACATATTTTTTTCTTTTATTTTAATACATTAAAGAACAATTCCGGGGATGCAAAACGCACCCACCGCCTTCCCGGCGGAGCCTTTGGCCGGCTGGAACGGTACCGGGGCTGCCGGCCGGGAGGGGCCCGGGGCACCCCAGCTCGGCCCGGCCCGGCCCGGCACGGCACCGCTCGGCACGGCACGGCTCGGCAAGGCCCAGGCTCGCCGTGCGCAGCGGGTCCGGCTGCGGCTCCCGCCCCACGCCAGGGGCAACGAGGGCTGAACCGGGGGCTTGGGGATGAGCGGCAGCGAACGGGCGCTTCGCGGCACATCTCTCACTTAGAAATGCCATCACCCTGCAGCGCTCACCCACGTTTGTTTCAAATTGATTGCATCATTGCTTCACCAGGAAAAAAAAAAGTATAAAAGTCATACAATGCGAAATTACCGTAATTTGTTCCCAGAATAAAC